CTGAAATGGGGTCGCAATGTGTAGGGTTGGTGTATCTAAAGCCCCCTCATCAAACAAGGGCGGGAGCAACTCTTTCTGCCTCTGCTCATGGCCCTCTGCCCTCCGCTTTCTCGTCTTGCCATTGCCAAAAACCCAGTAAAGTGTGGATGTCAGAAATTCGTCGTTCCTAAAAGCAAGTACTACTATGTGTAGGCTGTTGAGGGTCACCGCTACGACTCTGATTCCCTTTGGAATTTGGCAGCAATGTGCGACTAGTCGTAGCTGCGTCTGCAGCGTTACCCCAGTTACAGGCACGGTGCTAGCCCGAGATCGAAGTAGTTCCATGAACCCCTCAACTCTGAATCCCAACCCTAAACCCCAAACTGTGAACCTTAAATCCTAAAGCCTAAACCCTAATTCCCCAAACTGTGAAACCTAAATCCTAAACCCCAAACCCTAAACCCTAAACCCTAAACAAACCTCCAATATAACCCCAATATACGTAACCCCAATATAACCCAAATATACACCAAAAAAACCCTAATATAACCCCAATATTACCCTAAACCCTAAACCCTAAATGTCGGCCTGGCCTTCGGCTGGGGTGCACCAGCTGGCAGCCGCAAGTCAGCATACTGACGTCGCAGCTCCTTTTCCATCAAGCAGTTCAGGGGGTTTAGGGTTAAGGGTTTAGGGTTTAGGGTCAGGATCCCAACATGGGCTATTAGACCCTAAGATTCCTTATTAGGACCCTATTAAGGGTAGATTAGGGTACCCTTAGGGTCTAATAGCCCATAGTGGTCAAGCAGTTCAGGGTCTCAGGTTTAGGGTTTAAGCAGATTACGAAATGATGAAGTTATCTATGATAGTAGTAGGTTATAGATATACATTCAGTGTATAAAGTTCGGGAATGTGAACGGGAAGTTTCCGAGACTTGTCCATACCGGAAGCTTAATGTACTCCCTGCTAGAAGGACTCCAGTCCTTGAAAACCCCCTAGATAAAGATTAGGATCTTACGGCGGTTCTAGCCTCCCAACTAAGTTATCCCTGGTATAGGGCCTGTCACAAACCCAACATTAGGCTCCCCAATTCTGCAACCCCCACATGTACGTTGGGTCATGGTACCGAGCTTTCGGGTTCACAAGTTGATTGGTGAATATCCTCATCTCAGAAATCTAGCAGAATCGCTTTTTAGAGTTTTGTGTCGGAGAGACTCCCCACTTTCGCAAATGTGCAGATGAACAATGCAAAGCTTGTTGAACTCCCTAATGTATCTGTTTTTTTTTGAGGGTCTACCTGAGAAACATACAACATAGTATTGAACCTGCTGCAATGTTCCGGCAAGTGACCCCCCGCCACTTTTGCTAACAAAAAACATCATGCGCGCAAGCCTTGTTAAGATCATTGCGTCTAGCTGCGCACGATAGGTTCGCCAGCAGCTGCAACTTTCCTTCACCAAAGGGCTGACCCATGCTTTCGCTCGGCAGCCCGTTGACCCATGTGGGGCTTTCTCAAAAGTACCTTTTTCTGTCTTCTGTCCCTGTACACAAGGAAGAGCACGAGGACACTCCTCAATGATATGTCAGCGGGATCTGTGCGGGGTTCTTGGTTTCCTTCCCTTGGACCCAGTTCAAACGAATTTACTATAGCTACTTACCGTTTCATTCGGGGGGCACCTCTGCAGCACACTCATTCAAACATGTTGTCAACGGCTGCTGAAGGAATCCGTGCTGTGTAAAATCGTCGCGCTCCCCTCCTTGCCGTTAGGCTGTCAAAAGGCACCAGAAACTTGATGCCGGAGGATCACACAACAAAACTTGTGGAGAACTCAGGGAAAACTGCTGAACAGGCCGCACATGGAAATGATAGCTGACCTCTGGCAAGGGCCCGCTACCTGCAGGTAAACGGGTGTGGGTGATCTTTGGCCGACATTGCACTTTAATGACTTGCTTCGTCATGTGCCCCTAAACCCTTATCCCTAAACCCTAAAGACACTGTGCTATTGGCAGATTCTGGCCTTTACGACTCGGAGTCGATTTATGCACTTGCGTAGAGGTGAAGTCGGAGTCACTAGCCCAAGAACAACAAAGGACAAGTGAGATTACCAATCTGCTTCGAGCAGCAAACCTGAGACTGTTGCAGCACCATGCAGCAGAAACCTAATGTTCCAGGACCTTCCTTGTACCCGTAATTGGGGATATATGGTCCCTAATGGTGGGTACTTCGGCCCTAATAGAGGGTAGGAGGAGGGTCTAGGTACCTAATCCCAATATTACCCTATTATAACCCCTATATAATATATTATAGTAGTTTCCATTTTCTTTTCCATGATCCCAATATAATACCTACAAGCCCTAAACCCTAAACCCTAATCCCTAAACCCTAAACCCTAAACGCTAAACCCTACCATATACCTACATGGACCCTTTGGGCTAGTGTTGAGAATGGCCGTACCAGATTTCCTGCTTCCGCTCGCAACCACTTCTCCTGTGAGGCCTCGTTCAGAGTAGGAATTAGCGAAATCCTTGCCGAAAGCCTGGGTTGCTGTTAAGGAACTTAAATTAAGCCATATTATGGAAAATGAAGTGGAAACTGGGGGAATATAGGGATTTAAGATGATTTAAGGAACTTAAATTAAGTTACCATAATGGGTATATATAGTATATAAATAATAGGGTTTCCCCAGTATAGTAACTTAAATTAAGCTCCTTAACAGCAACCCAGAAGCATGTTCAAGACTGACTAATGCAAGGCCTAACTAAGTACATGAAAGAAGGCTCTTCCGTAGGCTGATTACAATGTGATCACAGAGGACTTTGAAAACAGGTGATGGGCGAGCATTAGTTTCCTGATGTGCACGCTGCAGCGCTTTCAAATGTGACCGATTCTAGCAAGCCCGCCCCCCCCCACACCATACCCCCCCCATGGTAAGGAACCTTCCCCTGATCATCCCTGATCTATAATGATGGTATACTTCGGGTATTCAGTTCAAGATCTTGTTAGAGGGAGGCCTAATATGGAGGCCTAATATGGTTGTATATTGAGGGGTAGTATAGCTTTAGCTGCTATCAGAAGGAGGGCCCTAAACCCTAAATCGTGCGGCTAATGACACTTCTGCTGCGGCTCCAAGTTCAAACGCTGTCATCTAGGCCCATAGGGGGGGGGGCTTCTGAGAATATGCGCTCCCTAGTGATAGGGAATATAAAAGTTTAGGGTTCAGGGTAGGGCGTAGGAATTGTTCTTGAAGATTACATAAGAGCTCTTAGAGATCCTGATATCCTGCTCTCAGCAAGGACTGCGGGCACTCGAAACCTTGTGGAGTGCGAAACTTGCCAGGCCCTCTCAGGCCATCGAAGAATGCAGGGCCAAGCCTGGCAAGCCAGCGTTGGGTTTAGGGTTTGGGGTTCGGGGATTAGGGTTTATTGTTAGTTGCTTTGTACTAAGGCCTTATAGTGCCCACATTAGGGGCCATGTATCCCTCATTGAGGGTACTAGGCAAGTCCTGGTTCACTGATACGGACCCACAAGTCATATGATGGTCATAAGGTCCTTGTTTTTGGGGTTTAGGGTTTTGGGTTTTGGGTAGCAACATCCGCATGCTCTGGTTTGGGTAGTCCCGAACTCCGATACTGCCAACTGTCGACTGTAAACTGAGATCAGGGTCTGATTCCGCGGCATGGAAAGACACAGGGGTCCCAAGGGTCAAACTACTTCATGGCTAAATGGCAGTTTCCCTGAATAGGGGGACCCTAGTATAGATCCCCAAATACGAAACCCCAAATGCCTCTGCTCGGACAGGCCTTTGTCAAGTGAACACTGATAGGAGGATCTGAGCTTACATGCTTCAGCTCTGAACAGGGCTCGCTTCGAGACAAACGCATCCCTATATCAGAGTATGCCATTGAAAAAGACACCGGAAATGACGCATGAAGACAAGATATAAAGCACACTGTTGCGTAGCATACTTACAGGGCTCTTCGTCCCACAAAATATGTCGCAACTACAACCCTTCCACACTCATCCAGTTGCTTTTTAGTCAAAGCTAGGGTCTTCTTGCATACCCCTGACCGAGCCCTCGAATATGTAGAAGAGCACTCTCCCTGAAACTCCAACCTAGGGGTATATCAGATGCTGTGGTCTGGTACATGTGTGGAACTTAGTGGTGCCCTGTCTGTTTTCCCAACATTGTATCTTGAAATTTTAAGGCTCCAACAGCGGATCCATAGGGTTCAGGGTATACTCTTAAGATACCTTTCCATGTATACATGTGACCGAGAAGAACAATGCTCAGAATCCACAACAAAGACCCCATGCCAACACAGTCTGTTCAACGCCACATACACCCTAAGTTCTCTATTGTAGAAGGCTCAGCATTTTCAAACGTATCCTTGTATGATCCGTACTGGTATACATCGTGTACCCAAAAGCCCGTATTCTGCCATACTACACCCTGGCCCCTACTTCCTGGACCATGGGACTTCGTAACTGCGTCTAACTGCGCTTATGACCCTGCTTATACTTGCAGTAGCTTTATGAAACCAGTTTAACCAGTTGGGGGTATTGCAGGTAGGGTTGTAAGCCCAGTTCTTAATATTTACTAAAGCCCCTGAACCTTCAAATGCCCTGAACCAACCCTAAACCTTAAATATCACCCTCTAACCTTTGTAAGAGGTTCCTCACTAAGTCCAATGAAGCTCCGAGTAGAATACCTGCCTTTCCCAGTTCACGCCTCCGGCTGGAAGCTCTATGGGCCACGCCCAGGGTACGTAACGAGGGAAAGGACTGGCAACTTCCCAAAAAGAAGGGCGCAGGGGACCAATGTTGGGCAGTCATGTACAAGGAATTCCCATGCCTGGCCTGTTTTGGGAGGTTACCGAGTACTTTCCCAGGTCTCCCTGCTTCACTGCAGGTGTGCGTCGAGGGTTCGGCTTCTCTGTACAGCGCGACTTCGACAACAAAATTGCTCACAATGAATTTTCTATCGATGTCAGGGCAGTAGCCCGACCATTACAAAATCTCTTTAGAGCTCATCGGTAGCTTCTTCTCCATCAGGTTCTCTTTGCTCCCCAGCACCGCCGTAATATTTGGAGACGATGGGAGCACACACTTCTTCAACTTCACTTTGCTTCATCTTGATCTCCTGGCTATGCGCCAAACAAACGGACTCTCCCAAACACTACATTAAGATTCAAACGCGTGCTTCGGATCATTTTGAAAAACAGTATCCTCCGTGTCTGCTTCTGGATGGGAGTCCAACCATGCCTGGCCATCTTTTAAAGCGTCTTGGATTTGCTGCCGTTCTTCGGAGTCCACCCTTTCGCTGATGCCGTTGCTGTCCTCCACTGCTAAACAAGTGAGCAAAATCATGACGGTTCATTCTGAGTAACCCTTTTTGAGGTCCGGTTAAACCAGGTTTAGGGTTCAGACTTTTCCTTTGGAATAACCCATAGAACCCATTCCTAATGCCCAGCTAGGCATGAGGAAGTTGCTGTCCTCAATGGCAGAGCGCATGGAGTGGATGTAGCTGTCCAGTGCAATCCTGGCATCGGCGCGCTCCTTCATCTTCTTGTCCTACACATCATGCTACACGTTTCCAGACTGTGTGCAGCCCTAAAACCTGAACCCAAAGCATCATCCAAGAGAAGCCAATAGCAACACGGAGGCGGGCAGGAACAAAAAGGGCGACAGGCTGTGGCAAGCTTCCGGTGACAAAAGCGAGGCTTTAAAGCAGGGTTCAGAGCTCAGGGGTTTAGGGTTTAGGGTTTAGGGTTGCAGATTTCAGTATTTAAGCCCGCAACACTTGGATGGCTTCTGGAGCTGGGGACGGGCAGGGCAACAACAAACGTACTAGGCTCTGGTGTCCTCAAAAGAGAGGGGGGCCCCTAGGTAGACCCGTATATAGTACATCCTTCTCGCAAGAATTCCAACGGGGCCCTAATTTTTGGAAACCCTAAATCCCTGAATTCAAGTCTCCTAGACCCTAGTCATAGTCTGTTTAAGCAGAGACGCGGGGACATCATCACCTTTACTTAACGTCTATTCACAGCTTACCTCTTGTATGAACCTACCGATATACGCTCGTACCCCTCGTTCGCGGCATCCCAGTCAGCATGCACTAGGTTAGAAGCCCCAAATTCTGAGTGCCTTAGCGAAGCAGCAGCGCATGAACGTTACTGTTTCTTGATTAGTACACTATTCCAAACTGCATATTTTCATTCCTCGGTAGCCTTTAAGAGACGTATGAAGGCTTAATAGCACAATCAGTTGTTCAACACTCACCCAGTCTCCTAAATTAACCGTAAATCCTAGGCACGAAACCTAAACTCTGATCGAAGCAGTTACCTAGACCCTCCAACTACCCTCTATTATGGCCTGCGTATCAATTTTCTAGGAACCGTATATCCCTAATTCAGAGTATGAGGATGGTCTTGGTAGTTGCAGCCTGCCCACAGCATGGTAGTTCCGATAAGTAGAGGACCCAAATATAGACACCCAAATCCTATAGTCCTTACGACTGGGACCTCCAAAATGGTACCTCTAATCCCTAAACCCTAAACCCTGTACATCCCTATATGAGCTACTGTCTGAACTCCTAGTATCCCCCCTAATAACCCCTGTAGTAGTCCCCTATATAATGCCCTATATACCCCCCCTTGAAGGAGTTTAGACTATAGCTCATATACCCTACATCCCTATATGGAAGTTTCCCTAAATTACTGTTCCCAAAATGGGGGAAATTGATATAGGGCCCCGTATTATACTAGGAACCCAGATATAGGACCCCGTATTGACAGTAATTTAGGACAATCCCCATATACCCTTACATCTCCCCTACAAACCCTGGTCCTCATCCCCGAACACCTCAGCTTCACGTACCATCCTCCAGATCTCCTTCAAGAAATTAAGAGGTTTTAGGGGTTTTAGGGGTTTGGGGTTTAGGGGTTTTAGGGTTTTTTGGGGTTTTAGGTGTTTAGGGTTACATATGCAACATTTCGGGATGCAGGCTCCTGCTCGGTCAAGCGGCCGTCGCTGCTGATGGTGATCTTCTCAGTACGGCCTGTTGGGTGGTTGTCAAAATTATGGTCCCTTTTTGGATCCCTATTATAATACGGCACCTAATATTTAGGGTACCCAAAAAAGGGATTGACAGCCAGCCTGTTCCCTTATCCTGGGCCGCTACGTTCAAGATGCCGTTGCTGTCAATCGCGAAGGTCACCTGGCCACTGGCCATGTGCTAGTCTTCTTTCAACCAGGGGAAACCCAACCCCACCCTAACAGTTGAGAGGGCCACTAAGACTGGACGTCCTCAATAAGGCTACCTCGGTTTTGAAGGGTTTGAAGGTGGATGATTTGGATTCTGCCGCGCTCCGAAGCCAGTCACACTAACTAAACATTGGCCTAAAACTCCTCAAGCTGCTCCCGAACACAAAGAGGACCACATTAAAATGGGTGCAATCTTCAAGTATGTTGAGGTCCTTGATTGGAAGACCCCAGAAACAAACCACAATTCTAGCACATGCTTCTAAGCATGCTGATGCAAACCTATAACATTGTTGTGCTTGTTACTTTTTCCTTCTTGGGATTTGGTATCGTCCCGAGCCCCTAAACCCTGACCCTCGCACCCTAGCATTACTCCTCTAAATGGACTTTATATAGCCCTACATTAACCCTTCAGAAGGGCCCTACATAAGCCTACATGATACACTACTGTAACTCCCTTGGGCCCAGAATTACAATGAGTAGGGTTAATTATACCGCAATGCAAACTGAAACATAACTGGGGACGAGTACCCCTTAAAACCATCCATCTGAAACATGGCAAAGCCCCCACCTCGATCTGGGGCTGGCCACGGGGTGCTGGAGGAACTCGAAGATCGAAGTTGCCAAGCCGATGATTATCCTAGGATAGGTTTGGATGGGCCCTCTAAACATCGGTTGTTTCATGGCTACAAAGGAGTACACAGGGAGAAAGGGTAATTCAATCTAAAGTCATGCTCAAAACCCACCAAGTTTCCTTGGTCATGGCACGCTCGCCCTCATGGACCTGAATGGCCACTGCTGGCTGGTTGTCTTGGGTGGTGGAAAAGATTTGGCTTCTTTCAGTTGGGATCCTGGTGTTGCGGGGGATCAGCTTTGTCATGACGCCGCCCACAGTCTCGATTCCCAGGGTAAGAGGAGCCACGTCCACCAGCACCACATCATCCAATCTTTCGCCACTGAGGATCCCGGCCTGCACAGCCGCACCATACGCCACTGCCTCATCGGGATTTATGCCGCGATTGGGCTCCTTGCCGAAGAAGTCCTTGATGAGTTGCTGCACCTTGGGGATGCGTGTGGAGCCTCCCACCAGCACGATTTCATCCACCTGGCTCTTCTTCAGCTGGGCGTCCTCAAGCACCTGCTTCACGGGACCTAGAGTGCTCTTGAACAGGTCGGCATTGATCTCCTGCACATTGGAGGGTTAAGGATGAATTTCTTGAGGTCGTGCTCAAGGCCTCTCTGAGTATGGTGCATGGGATGATAGGAGCTGCAATTAGTATTTGGCTTCTACGAAAAATTCTAGGGACTATACTAAACGAGCAAAGGGGCCCCTATATCCACCCTTCATGGTCGGCTGGTAAGCCTAGTATCATATTGACAGTAGCCCATATATAAGAGCATACTCGACAAATTTTGAGCAAGGAATGGAAGCACGAATAGCCGAGAAGGTATCTTTTGCTCACCTGGCTTCGGATGCTTTTGTAGCGCAGTGTTGGAAACTGGCATACCTGCAAAAACCCTAACCCTAAACCCTTCACCCGAAATGGTAGTTTCCATTCTATTCCCAAATGATCCCAATATAACCCCAATACAACCCTAATACTACCCCAATGGGTAGTCCTAAATCCGGCTTTTGCATACGCATGCATTCAGCTCCTCGAAGCGCGCCCGGGTCAAGGTCTCAGAGAAGTCCACGCCATCAAACAAGGCCTCAATCTCCAGCCGAGCCTGGTGAGTGGAACTAAGTTGACGCTTGGTCTTCTCGACTTCGCGTCGCAACTTCTGCACGGCGCGCTTGTCCTCAGACATGTCCTTGCCGTGCTTTTTCTGGAAGATCTTCATGAAATGCTGCATCACCCGCTGGTCGAAGTCCTCTCCACCCAGGTGGGTGTCGCCGCTTGTGGCAACTACCTCAAAGACACCCTGGGCAATGTTCAACAGAGAGACATCAAAGGTACCACCGCCGAGGTCATAAACCAGGATGTTCTTCTCGTCATTGCCCAGCTTGTCCAAGCCATATGCTATGGCTGCTGCAGTTGGCTCATTGACGATGCGAGCAACGTGCAAACCTGCAATGGCGCCTGCGTCTTTGGTTGCCTGACGCTGGGCGTCATTGAAGTAGGCTGGTACGGTCACCACTGCATGCGCAACCTTTTGTCCCAGGTAGTTTTCAGCCGTTTCTTTCATCTTGGTGAGAACCATGGAGGAAATCTCTTCTGGAGGCATCAACTTCTCTAGGCCATGGACTTTGACGCTGATCATCGGCTTGCCGCCCTTCTCCACAATTTTGAATGGCAGCAGCTTCATGTCCTCAAAAGTCTACTGATAAGGGTTGTCACCTTTACTAGCCTCGGAGCCACTTAGGAATATAGTCCTCCTCAAGTAGATAGAATCTGGGGTAGTATGGGGATCTTGTTATAGTATACCCCAAGTTATATTCTATCTACTTAAGGGGGACTAGGGAATTGATTGCATCATCACAAGTCTCCCCAGTGTGCAGTCCTTCTGAACAGTGGAATCCCTGAATCTTCTCCCCATCAAGCGCTTCACGTCAAACAAGGTCTGTGTGGGGTTCACACTGGCTTGGTTCTTTGCAGCTTCTCCAATGAGGCGGTCGTCCTCGGCGAAAGCCACATACGAAGGTGTGATGCGATTGCCCTGGTCATTCGGAAGGATTTCCACCCGTCCATTCTTGTAGATGCCCACGCAGGAGTAAGTTGTTCCAAGATCGACACCAATGACAGGTCCATGAATCTTTGGCTCCTCCTTCGACCCAGCACATGCTAGGCCCGCTAGGCAGGCTGTGGCTACAAGGATGACAAAAACCGTTGCTTTCCACGTCATGGCTTTGACTCCACCGCAGAGAATCCCTGACTTGCCTGTTGAGCTTCTTGCCAAAACAGCTGTGGAAGCAAAATGCTGCTGCACTTCCCATCTCGACTTCTGCTTGGCTTGGCCTGCGGAGTTGTTACCCGGTGTAGGGTTTTGGAATTTTTCAGCCTGTTTCGACAAATGCCAGCTTCCAAATTTCAAAAATTGGGCCACCCTTTTGGAATAAGCTGCAAAACTTTAAGGCTGGTTCTAAACAATCATGGCTGTGACTGAGGCATTACTCGCGCCAGAGGGTTTCTAGTCAGCAAAGGCTGGTACGCGCAGGGCAATAGCCACTCTGCACGCGCATCCTGGCAAAACGGTACAGACACCTACCTAAATTGGGGTATATATTGAGGTCCACCCAGTTATGGAAAACGCAAAATCTACATTACATTGAGCATCCATAGGCACAAGGCGACCGGACTCCGTACAGGCAGTCTGTCGCTGGAGCGCCTACTTGCATCATCGGCAAGAGATCTAAAACTCTACCACAAGTCTCTGCCACGGCCTTTCAAGCCATGTGCATGCCACCGTTGACGTGGAGGGTGTGGCCAGTGATCTCGGAAGGTTGGTAAGTTGGGAGCTTTGGGACCATTCCAAAGGTTTAGGGTGAGGATGAAGCTGGCAATAAAACTTTCATGTCAATGTGTTCCGAGGTCTTGCAGCTGCAGTCAGTTGAAGTCATTTGAGCTACAGACTAAAGTTAGGTTGGGGGGACCTCTAGGGGAATAGGGGGGACCTCTTCAGAAATATGCCAGAACTTTAGTCCAAAGCTCGTGTGTAGAGCATTGAGCGCCTTTAGGGTTTAGGGCCCAGCTTTCCAGCACAAACCCACCACAATGACTGACTGCACAGTGCCTTACTCCAATCCTCAGATCCCGGTAGGTTCCTGCAATAAAAGAGGGTCGGCTTGGGGTCTCTTAAAATTCATGGAACGTTCCATGGCTTCGTGGGGATATGAAGGGCTGAAGGGGAACCAAAAAATCAAAATTATTGTCTAAACCTACTCCTGAATCTCCGGGCCTAGAAAACCCTAAACCCTAGACCCTAAACCCTAAGCTTAGAAGAGAAGTCTCAGAGGAGATTTTGGGTCATAGATGGAATGTTGCTACAGCACTCTATCTGGGTAGGGGGTTGGCAAATTGTGGTTCCTTGTGGGGGTTCCACTAGAATAGCGACCCAGTATGTGATTCATCCAAAACAGGAAGCATAATTTTGACAAGCCTCCTTTGCACGTTCCGAGTTTGCTTTTGGCTGTCAAACTTCAGCGACAGGGCCTTGAATAATGTCCTCAAAGAGAACACTTACAGGTTGTTCTGCGATGAATGAATGGACCAAAATGGAAACTCCTGCAATTTTGGATGAGATGTAGAATTTCTACAGGGATGAATTTCTCATCCTTTATTACCCAGCAAATATACGAACGCAGAGGGCCCCTACGTTGTCACCCCCTGGCTAGGCTTTGTGTAACTTTCCATGCAATAGAACGTCAATAAATAATTGATCCTCACAAAATCAGTTTACGCACTGCAAGCACCGACCGCTCTATCAACCCCATTCCCCACTGTGTGTGACGTAGGGCGGATGGAAGGAAGTCTTGCGCCACTTAGCACACCAATATGCTGACAATCCCAGGGCAAAAGGTATCAGCATGATGCAAGACCTCTTGCATCCACAGTATGATCTTTCGCCACACTTCCCAACCTTTTTCCCCTGATTCTGACTTTCACATTGTAATGTCGTAATAAGCGCCTGCAAAACCCTAAGGGTCCAAGGACCCAAAGAATAGGGTTTTAGGGCCCAAATATCAATAATATTATTGGTAGGTATTTGGGCCCTAAAACCCTATTATTTGGGTCCTCGGACCCTTAGGGAAACCTGAAGTCCATGAGCATCGCTACACTGGTCGTGAATTTCTTGAAAACTATTGGTACTCGGGGGCGTCGAAAGCATTGTAACTAGGGCTCTAGGCCCAAATATGTTTAGTGTTTAAGGTGTAAGGTTTAGGGTTTAAGGGTTTAGGGTATAGCCTACCGTATAGGGTTTCGGGGTTTAAATTCTCAGGAAACCCCGCCCCCCGGGCCCCACGCGTAGCCGGCAGCCGGCGATGCCAGGAAAAGGACCTCAGGAAAGATTTGGTCCTTTCCGTAAATAGGGACCCCAAAATAGACAATCCTTATCGTAGGTCTCCCCAAAAAAGTACCCCTGACTTTGTGAAAACCTGCCATTTGGGATTCTGAGCATGATGTGTCCCCTCCCCTAAATCCTAAACCCCTCCCCCACGCCTTCAGGTTACCCCAATAGGGCTACTCAAACTTCATTATACAGGGGAACCTAGCGTGCAGGGGTAGTATTGGGAGGGGCTAAGAGAACCCGTACATCATGGTTTAAATAGAAGATGAGAGAACTAAGGATGCCAAAACGTGGGGTGTCCTGCCTATCTAACATTGGTTTAAGATCGTAGTTTCCCTAAATAAGGGGACACCAATATAGACTCCTCATTATTGGGACCCCCCAAACCCCTAGATCAGCCGTGGCAAGCTCATAGTCCATCAAAGCCATTATCTAAACGATATGCAGACACTCTGCGGGACTGCTAGCTTATGCAGGCCACGCTGGGATACGACCGTAAAGGTGCGCAGCTTTTGAAATTCCATATCTCATGTCTCGTGTCTACAATCTGCATTGCTTCATGTCCCTAAACTCTAAACCCTAAGCCCTAAACCCAAAATTATGCAGTACTCTCCATTTTCTTTTTCATTATCCCTACATAACCCCTATGCATATATATATATATATCCTATCATCCCTGTGGCTTCCATTTTCTTTTCCATTATGAACCTACTCCTTTAATCCCTATATATATAATTATATATATACATACACCCTATATAACCCCTAGAACCCCTATAGTTTCCATTTCTTTTCCATTATCCTGATGCAACCCTTATATATACCCCTAGAATCCCTGTTGTTTCCATTTTCTTTTCCCTAAACCCTAAACAACCCTAAACCCTAAACCCGAAACCAACCTACTCCCATGTCCTCTGCTAGCAGCCTCCCAAATTTCCGACCACTCCAGGCCCTCCCAGACTGCCCTATAACACCCCCCGTGCCCCCTTTGGGTGTTTAGGGTTTAGGTTGTTAATCGTTTAAGGTTTTGGGGGTTCAGGGTTTAGGGGTTTAGGGTTTAGCATTCTACAATGAAGTGCTGCCCATACCCTTTCTGCACCCTGAAGAAGAAGAGAATGCCCATCTTTGGGGCCTATACTTATACTTCCGACCTGAGCGAGGGGGTGTCAAAACGTTGATCTTTTCTTGCGTCCCTAGTACGATGCCGTCCATGACGTGCAGCGGCAACTAAAGGACCATAGCTTCAACAACCTTAAGCCCTAACCCTTACACCCCACCTGACCTCCCAAATACCCACAATAGCAGCCTTCTACCCCAGAGAATGGTTTTAAAGGCCATTGTTGTGGAAAATCCTTAACTCCTACCCCTGAAACCCTAAGCCCTAAACCCAAACCCCATAATATCGTATTGTCCATTCTTTTCCGTCTCTTTTCCGTTAAACTTACATGGCCCCTATAGCCTGATATTACCCTAAACCCTACACCCCTAAACCCCAGAATATGTATTTGGGAGGTCTAGGCCCAAACCCTACCCCTAAACCCTACACCCTAAAGCCTTTGTGTAACGCCAGAACCGCAGATCGATTTAAGTCCTAGGCCGCGTCCGCGATCTCTCCGGGGTCTCCCAGACGCTTCACCTGGGGGTGTAGGGTTTAGGGCTTTAGGGATTTAGGGCTTAAGGGTTTAGGGTTTAAGGGTTTAGGGTTTAAGGGTTTAGGGTTTAAGGGTTAGGATTTAGGGTTTAAGGGTTTAGGGATTTAGGTTTAAGGGTTTAGGGTTTAGGGTTTAACGTTTAGGATTTAGGGTTCAGCATCTCAAGTTCAAGCATTCATTTAATGAGCAGATCTCCCAAGCAACAGCAACCTAGCCAACCTTTCGCTGCATAATTAAAGTCATTTAACCGAAAACTGGTTTTACCAGGACATGGCGGAAATTCTGCGGAATTGCAATTCCTCATCGTATAGGCACCATGTCTGCGCGGTGGAGATAGCGTTTCTCGTTCTGGTGAAGGTTTTGAAATGGCGTTTTCCATTTCCCTCATAACGGTTTTTGTTCTGCAAATAGCGTTTTTGTTTGCCGGGTTGGAAAATCAATTAGACCGTTGGCTGACCTGGCCGCAGAAGCTTTTGGCTTTACTAGTGTAACCGGGTTGGACGTGCTCGCCCTCCCGCAAGGCCTGGCTTGCATTGCAGCCTGGGACCATGTGCGCATGCAGCTGCAAATTCAGCTTGGCTGCCCCAATTTGAAGTGCCATGTTTGGAAGCCTGTGCTGTAAAAGACGGACTGTGGCACGTGTGCCCTTGCTTTACCATGGGGCTGCCTGGCCTGAAAATTAATGATTTTGATATGGCGATTTGGATTTTCGAAATGGCGTTTTTTTGAAATGGGCGGAAAACCTAAATGGCGGAAATCGGCGGCGAAATGGCGGAAATATCCGGAATGGCAATTTTGCGAATTTCGAAATGTCAATTTTGCATGCCTGAAACTGCTCGAAATTACCTTGCTCAGGCTCCTACGCAGGCTTTGGGGTATCACAAATCTCCGTTGCTGAGGGTTGTGCCTGGGCTTCGGGTGGACAGCGGCGGCTCTGAGTCTATCACTGATAATGTTTCTACAGCCCTGCCATGTCCAATCGCATGTGAAGTCCGCATCTTGAATGGCTATACATGTCACCCAGCTTCCCAGTAATGCTTCAAGCACACATGTTGTTTGCATGTCGATGTCGCCTAGCAAGCAGGAACAAAACGCCGAATGAGATGCAAGTTTTGCCGCTGGAAATGCCTTTTTGATCAAAGTCATGCCGGTTTTATGGGCCAGCAGCTTACTTTAATGACGATT